GTGACCAAGTCCCTGTTGTACCATTTGGCAAGCTGGGTTGATCCAGACCCAATAAAAAGACCTTTTGATGTTGAAATAAGAAGAATTCTAATTCTTGTAAACATAATGTTAGCAGTAATTAAAAAAAAAAAACTTCAAAACCTTTTCTTTTAACCCATGGCAAAGACAGAGCTGTTAAAATGTTCCAAGATAAAACATTAAATTTTAAAAGCCTACCTTTTTGAATCCAGCATCTTTGAGTCTCTGAGGGCAAAAAAAGAGATAATTGTACAAATCTCCTCCATGAGTTTTCTTTGCCATCTAAAAGCCCTGGTCATCACCGGAGAGTTTAGCATGTACTGAAGTATTCCCTTCTACTGCACTATGACGATATTGCTGAAAAAAAAAAAATCTTAAAGAACAATCGAAGGTCTTTTTAAAAACAAAACAAAACATATATTATCTAGTAATACAGCCCCTGCCCCCCTTGTCTGCTTTACTGTTAAAAAAAGAAGTGTCTGGGGCTGGGAAGTTGGCTCAGTGGTAAAGCGCTTGCCTTGCATGCCTGAGGCCCTGGGTTCGATTCCTCAGCACCACATAAGCAAAAAGAAAAGAGCCGGAAGTGGTGCTGTGGCTCAAGTGGTAGAGCGCTAGCCTTGAGCTGAAGAGCTGAGGGACAGCGCCCAAGCCCAGAGTTCAGGCCCCGCGACCGGACCTCCCCTCCCCCCCCCCAAAAAAAAGAAGTGTCTGTGGACAGCTTTAATTTTATCAAAAATGTCTTTATGGTGTTGGTGATAAATGTCTTTATGATCTTTATGACTGACTGGACTTAGAAGCAGGAAGAAAGCATGGCTCAATTGTTGTTAACTGTGAAAGTCCTCAGTGGTTTGTGGTTTTTCTTTTGTTGTTGTTTTTTTTTTTCAGTGTGGTCTTTGGAGAACAATAAAATTGGGAAGCAGAAATTATATGATGATAAACTCTTGAAAACTACAGTGGCAAAGCTTCTCTGTCCTCAACTCCATAAAGATCAGGTCAAAGGGATAGAGTGCCATAAATCCTTAAAAAAAATCAGTTCCTTCTGTACCTTCTTTTTCATAGCCACATGTTTGTGGTGTATGGGGGGGTGAAAGGAAGAAGGGGTATCCTGGGGCTGGAACTCAAGGCCTGGGCACTGTCTCTGTGGGTTGTTTTTTGTTTGTTTTGTTTTGTACACAAGACTAGCTTTCTACCACTTGAGCCAGACAGCTCCACTTCTGTATTTTTGGTGTTTTAACTGGAGAGAAGAGTAACCGGAGAGGATGGGTAGGGTTGGGAGAGATGGGGAAAATGATGAAAGGGAGGAGTGATGTAGAGATGTGGATCAAGACACAATGTACTCTGACATGTTAGATCGAAACCCTTTTGTACAGCTACTCAAGGATAATAATAATAATAACAGAAGAATACCATGTAAGAGTTTTCAAAAAGGAAAAGAAAAAAAATCTATCAAATGTACTTCAAAGTCCCATTTTTTTGTTGTTGTTGGTGGTGGTTGTTGGTCGTGGGTCTTGAACTCTGGACCTCAAGGCTAGTACTCTACCACTTCAGCCACAGCACCACTTTCTGCTTTTTCTGCTTATGTGGTGCTGAGGAATCGAACCCAGGGCCTCATGCATGCAAGGCAAGCACTCTACCACTGAGCCACCTTCCCAGCCCTTGTCCTAGTTTTTTTGTCTTCAAATGAAATTTCTAGAAGATAAAGGATGTATTCTAATGAACACTTACGCTTTGTAATGAAGTATTACAGCAACCCAAATATTTTATTAAAAAAGATTGCTTCTAGGAACAAAAATGCACAATTGTAAACAACAGCATTTAGAACCCGTATAATTATTTTATTTTTAAATAAAGTCAAAATACTTTCCTTTTTAGTTCATCTTCCTAGAATTTTATATACTTCCTAGATTTGGCTAATATCTACCGAAGAATATAGCATTATCTTATCAGCTCATAACCTTAAGGAGTATTGTAACTGTACAACTACCATATCCTTGTCACACAGTTTATTTTACATTTATTTATTATTTGTAGAGTACTGGCACAGTGTTGGGGCTTGAACTCGGCCTGGACACTGTCCCTTAGCTTTTTCGCTCAAGGATGGTGCTCTATCACTTAAGCTGGGGCATAGCTCCACTTCTGGCTTTCTTGGTGGCTAACCGGAGATTAAGAGTCCCACACACTTTCTTGCATGAACTGGCTTCAAACTGCAATCCACAGATCTCCGCCTTCTGAGTAGCTAAGATTATAGATGCGAAACACTGGCATCTGGCTAGACTGTAAAACATTTTTTAACCTTAAGAATGTTCTATGTCTGCATTTTGGAGAACAGCAAGGGGTGATAGAAAAGACAAAGCTGTGTCACATAGGAAGTTGCTACCAGGGACGAAACAGGAGGATAGACCAGAAGGAGGAACAGAATGCACTTGCCCTGTGAAAACCCAGGCTTCTTGCAAACATCCACCATTGCTTGCCAGAGGTGAGAACAGTGGACCGATGCTCTCCTGACTCTTAGAGGAAGCTCCGATTTTGACTGTTAGACAATCAGGTGATATAGGAATAATCCTTTCGAATAGAGAGGTTCTAGCAAGAATCTGTCCTTGAGTTTTATTCACTCAAGGTTCTACTACCACTTGAACCACAGCACCACTTCTGGCTTTCTTTGGTAGTTAATTAGAGGTAAGAGTCTTGTGGACTTTCCTACCTAGTCTGACTTGGAACCTTGATTTTTGGGTTTCAGCCTTCTGAGTAGCTAGGATTACAGGCGTGAGCTACCTGCGCCCAGCCAATATTTTATTTTATTTTTCTTTAAATTGTCAGACATGCCAACCAACATCTATCAGCTGCTTATTCCTAAATACTTGCTGTTGTTAACTAAATACTTGCACTATTGAGTATGTGGTCCTGTCTTCATTATTCAGCCAGTTTATGCCATCCAGATTTCAAAACTTTCATGAAATGTTACACATCAAATGTTTAGCCTTTCCTTCAGGAAATTAAAGAATCAAATATATAATCAAGAAACAATACTGTTTCATACACTAAGCCATATGAAACTTAGGTATAAAATTCATTGTGCTATCTAATCATCTAATCTAAGCAAGGAATCAAGTTACATATTTTAGCCCTATTCTGAAAACTTCTAAATTTATTTCAAAGATGGAATCTACAAAGATTTCTAGAACCTAAGGTAGGATCTAATTCTATTTTACTTATGAAACCAGGGAAATGTGTGTTTAATTTCAAACATACAGGAAAATGTAACGAATTTAAAGGGGAAAAGCTAAGATGCATTCCTTCACATTTCCTCACTATTTAAATTAGGAAATAATGATTAAATTTAAGTCACTTGTTATAATAAGTGAAGACTGATTAGTGATATTCACTGTACAACTTTAGTGATTGATCATGATAAACTCAAAAACAGGAGAGGAAGAGACATGATCAATCATCAATAAATACATCCATATAAACTTATTTATATCAATAAATAAAATTGCCTTTTATTTCTGCCTAAATATGATTTATTCCTTATGAAGCTATAAAAACTACAGAGTGTAGCTAAAAAATAAGCATCCTTACCTTCTTAAGTACAGAGCTGAAGCACCTGTTATTATTAGTTGAGTGGCTTGTTTAGACCCAGACATTTATCTCTGGTTATTTCCTCAAGCTGAAGTTCAATCAAGACACATTTTCAAACGCATCAGTTACACCTCTGATAAGCACTGGAGCTCGTATGCTGAACTTCCAGTGTTCTATTAACAATAACCTTAAGAAAATCAAAGTCTCAGCAATGTTTGCAAATTGATTTTTTAAATCTTTATCCTGTGTCGGTAAACTACTTCAATGTCATACACTGATACTTACATTGGCTTTACACTTTTGCTTTAACAAGTGTGAACACATAACACCATTTCGATCAGAGGGTTCTACTTAATAGACAGACTTGTCCTTTCCTAACAACTCCAGGAGTCTAGAAAAGGCCCCAAACTGTCAACTGTTCTCTCTTGGCAACTTCAGGAAACTCTTACAAAACTACTTCCTGAATAGCATTAACTTTAGGACCATGAGAAACCTAGTCACATAAAGCATAAAAACATATCTATTTAAATCCTAAGAGAATCCACCATTTCAAAACTTATCCAGTTTGATGGCCAGTTATGTTCTCTAATAACTTAATGATCGGTTTCACCAAGTCTGTGAGAACCATTGCCCTTCATCATTTTTTTTCAAATACCAAAGTTGAACAGACTGTACTTCTTTCAAGAATCTTTATTATTATTATTACATTTTGAACAATTCAATCTGTTAGATTTCAATGCAGTTTATAAAACAAAACAAAACCTCAGGACAGTTTCATATAAACTGCAATCAAAAAGAAAGAGTAAGTTACTTTGCAGAGGAGTTATCTGAGGTTGCAAGTGATTATTCACTTTTGTAATATGCAGAACAGCAAAACGTAAGCATGCTCCTGGGGGCTAGCGGGCGTGGGGCCACGCGCGGGAGAAGACGGCCTCTCCTGCCTTCTATGGTTACTTTTTTTTGTTTGTTTGTTTTAAAAGAGCTTGCTAAGGTCTGCAGGCAGTTTATGGGATGCAATCATTTTCTCCATAATTTAGGTACAGAAGAATAAAACTGATATTTATGAACAAAGTATTTCTGTCCAAAAAAAAAAAAAAATGGTTGGAGCTATCTGTGTAGATAACTTGCTACACCATGAAATGTACTAGAGAAAGAGAGAGTCATGCTGAAAGTTGAAAAGAAAATCCCTGCACACGAGTTGAGAGTTCCAGGAGCAGAACGAGGCTCCCACAGCGAGTGTCCAGCCGTCCCGCGTGGCGCGTGAACAGCCAATCTCCCAGACGGGGGGAGCGAAGGCCGACACTACCATCAGTCCGAGTCCAGGGCGGCATGGGCGGGGGGGGGGGGGGCGGGATGGGGGGGGAGAGGGTAAGCTGGAGTCTATGCCTCATGCAGGGCCGCACTGTCCGTCCGTCCGTCCGTCGGTCCTTCCCGCGCGCCCTGGGGGGACGGCGCTCACACGTCTGAATTGGAGCTGAGGTTGGTGAGCCGGGGGTCGGCGCTGACCTCGTAGCGGTAGTGGTAGCCTTCCATGTGGTCCCTGCACGCGTCCCGGATGTTGTGCACCCACTTTTTAATCCCCTTGCGGTTCAAGTACAAGACTAGGAGGAAGATGGCGCCGATGAGGGCCAGCACGATGCCCAGGAAGACGTAGGATGTCTGCAGGGAGGGCGGCAAGATGGGGTCGCAGTCCAGGTCGGCGCCGTCGAGCTCCAGGAGGCGGCGATCCCGCATCTTCTCCGGGAACGCACAGCGGAGCCGGGCCTTGCCGCGCACCGCCTCGGTCTCCTGGAGCCAGGCCACCATGTCCACCATGTGGCAGTCGCACACCCAGGGGTTGTCGTCCAGGAAGAGGGTGAGGCGGGCCAGGCCGCGCAGCTCGGCCAGCGTGGCATTGTGCAGGACCTTCAGCGCATTGTCCTCCAGGTGCAGGCTCTCCAGCAGGCTCAGGTTGCGCAGGGCGCCGGCGCCCAGGCTCACCAGCGAGTTGTTGCGCAGGTCCAGGTGGCGCAGGCCAGGCAGCAGCGCGCCCAGGTCCCGGGGCAGGTGCAGCAGGCGGTTGCCCGCCAGCTCTAGGCGGCGCAGGCCGCGCAGCGCCCGGCCCGCGCGCAGCGCCGCGCCCAGCATGCGCTCCAGGCTGCGGTTGTGGCGCGCGTCGGCCGGGGGCGCCACGTGGCTCAGGATCAGCTCCTCCAGGGGCGCCGGGTCGCGGGCGCCCGCGTCGCCCCCCGCGAAGGCCAGCGGGCTGAGGTCGCTCAAGGGGTTGTGGCTGAGGTCGAGCTGCCGCAGGCCCGGTAGGGGCTGGAAGGCGCCGGCGCGCACCGTGTGCAGGCGGCTGGCGCTGAGGTTGAGCGCTGCCAGCTCGGCCAGCGGCGGCCGGCGGGCGAAGGCGCCGGCGGGCAGCTCCTCCAGGCGGTTCCCAGTGAGGAAGAGCGTGCGCACGTAGGCGGGCAGTTCGGCGGGAACCTCAGTCAGGTTGCGGTTCACGCACTTGACGGTGCGCGCCGCCTCCGAGCACTCACAGGGCGGGGGGCAGCGGGCGGCCCGCGGCGACGGGGAGGCGGCCGCGGGCACCGATGGCGGCGCAGAGGCCGACGGCGGCGGAGAGGCTGACGGTGGCGGGGAGGCCGACGGCGGCGGGGAGGCCGCGGGCACCGACGCCGGGGCGGCCGGCGACCACGCAGACACCCAGCCTAGTAGCACCAGCGCCAGGCGCGCCAGCCGCAGTCGCCCGGCCCCGGCGGTGGGGCCCCGGGCGCGGTCCCCCGGCATCGCGGCTCCCCGGGACCGGGCCGCGGCGGCGCCCGCTCCGAGGGCACCGGAGGCGGAGACTCCGGGAGGCGCTGGCCTGCTGGAAGCTCCTGGAGCAAAACTTTTTCTGCTCGCGGGGAGGGAGGGAGGGAGGAGACGCTGTGCCGGGTTCCCCCAGGTCCCCGCGCGCACCCTGGTCCCCGCGCGCCCGCCAGGTACGCACGCGGGATGGTCGGGTCCAGGCTCCGCGCGCTCCGTTCCGCGGCTCCTTGGGTTGGCGCCGCGGGCCGAATCCGATAGGCGACCTGGAGAGGCAGGAAGCAGGGGTGAAGCCACGGCTCCCCGGGGGCAGAAACGGGATCCCCGGGAACCCCTGGACCCCCCAGCCTTCCTCCAATGGCTCCCCGACCGGACAAGGACTCTCTTCCTGGTCGTGCCTGGTCCACACCGCGTGCACGAGTGTAGATGTGTGTACACACCACGTACACCAGTGTAGATGTGTACCCACAGCACGTATGATTGTAGGTTTAAGTACTGAATACATGTGGAAATGTGTGCCCACGCTATGCAAGCATGTAGATGCTGTGCACCGCATACACGCGTGTAGATGTGCGTCCTCACCACATACATGAGGGTAAATATATGCACTATACCGCGTACACACGCAGGTGTATGGCATACATGTGTAGATGCCCACACTATGTACACAAGTGTAGAAGTATACACCGCACCACATACACATCGTGGTGCACACCACACCATGTCCATGTGTAGACTGTGCACCTAGCTGTGTATATAATGCATGTGTAGATGTATGCATCATGAACACTACCTCGTGTGTGTGAATGCATACAACACGTCGTATACACTGTAGATGTATGTGCCACACACACGTGGATGTATGCACCATGCGGAGTACACGTATGTAGTTTGTAGATATGTGCACTACATTGTGTGATGTGTACTGTGCCATGTCCACGTGTGTGGATATGCGCCACACTGTGTGCACATGTGTAGTGTGGATATACGCACCGCGCCTTGTACACGTGTGGAATGTGTGGGTGTATGTGCCACACCGCGTGCATGTGTGGATGTGTGCACCGCACCGTGTGCACATGCCTGGATGTGTGCCCCGCGCCAAGTGCACGTGTGTGGATGTACGGGCCACGCCATGTACACGTGTAGTGTGTGGATGTGTGTGCACCGTGCCGCGTGCATGTATGTGGATGTGTGTACCATGCCATATACATGTGTGTGATTGCACCATGCCACGTACACATATGTGGATGTGTGCGCCAGGTGCACGTGTGTGGATGTGTGCACTGCGCCGCGTGCACGTGTGTGGATATGTGCACATACACACACTCAGGCTCTCACAGTTCTGCAGCCTCTGACTTCTCTCTTAAGCGTGGCTTCTCTTCCCCAAACTTCCCAGCCTTCGGTTTCCGCCCCCCCTGCCCCGCCTTCCTGGGTCCCCACCCCTCCCGCCCGGGCCTCACCGCGGCCTTCAGAAGTCTCGGGTTACCAAGTCTCGGGATCCCAGGACCCCCTTGGCGTAGACGGAGTGCCCCCCACTGCCACCCCCCCCCGAGTCCTCAGACCAGGGGTCCAGTCGTCTCCACAGCCAGGCCAGGACTCGACCCGCGCCGCCCTCGCCCCGGGACGGGGCCGCCCAGTCCTGGGGGCGCTGCCCGCCAGCCCTCCGGGTGGCCGCGCGCCCCTGCCCCCTCCGTTCCTGCCGCACGCGGCGCCACCGGGGGCCAGCTCCGAGCCGCACCCGAGGCGCCCCGGCAGCCCGAGGCCAACCCCAGGCGGGACCTCGGCCGCGGGACCCCGGGCGGCGGCGGGAGGCGCGCGGGCGCCGAGGGGGACCGGGTCTGGCTGCGTGCCCCGCCGGGAGAGGCGCAGGAGCCGTGAGCCGGAGAGGCGAGGGCGCCCCTTCCTCCCCGCACCTGGGGTCTCCCCACTCCTCCCTGACCCCTCTGGGGCCCCTCCACTCCCCCCGCATCCCGGGGCCCCCAACTTTGCAAGTGTGTTTACCTCCGGCAGGAGCAAACCCGCTGGCGGACCTCCCGGTCCTCCGCGCGCCGGGGACCTCGGCGGTGACGGATGGAGACGGGGGCGGTCGGAGCCCGAGCGGCGCCGGGCGGAGCTCGGACGATCTGCCGGCCCTGCGGGTCCCGCCGGTCCCGGGGCGCAGCGATGCGCCCGCCCGGCGCCCGCCCGTCAAGTTCCGATCCGGAGCGGACGCCCCACCTGTGCGGACCCGGGAAGTGAGGAGCCGGGGCGTGGGAGGGGGGGGGTGGAGAGCACCAACTTCACCGGGGGGGAGGCGGGCGCGCGGAGAGGAGCCTCATTCCGGATCTGTTCACCTTCTCTCCTCCTCAAATGACCCGCGGAGGCCCGAACCCCGCAGCCCCGGCATCCTGGAGACAAAAGGCGGAGCGCGCGGCCGTGAGTCACAAGCGCGCACCGCCCCTTCCCGGGCTGGGCGTGTCCTCCGCGCCGCGGGACGCGGCCTGCACGCACAAGTTTCTCCCGAAGTGGAGCGGCGGCCGCGGAAGGGCTGGAGGAGGAGACGGCGGGGAGGACAGACGGCCAGGAGGACCGACGGCCGGCCGGAGAGACCCGATCCTCCCAGCTCCAGCCCCCGATGCCTGGAAGAAGCCGGTGGTGGGTGTCAGCCTTCTCCTTTTAGATGGAAAATGACAGCGAGTGGAAACGCAGTTGGGAAGATTAAGATCTGGTTCTATATTAAACAAATAAAATAGGAAAGGGTGAAGGTGGCTCTGGTGGCCGACGGTGCAGAGGCTCCAGTGCCAAACCCATCGCCCGTGACTTCGGGAGGGACACGGCCTGCAGACACCACCGCAGAAACCGCTCAGACGCACACCACAGACATCCCCGCCCCAAGCCAGCTTCGATCATTTGCATCTACATTCTCTTTAGAATAGTTTAAATAGACACATTTATCTATTTCAAACGTGTGTTGCAACCGAACTGTAAAACACTTGGGGAAAACGGGCTCTCCAAAGCCGCAGTGGTGCTCTGTGTATCCTCTGTGTGGAGATGGATATGTAAATCTGTACGTGTTAAAACTCAGAGGACTTTGGCCCCTAAATAAGGGAGTCCGTTTCGCTGTATAATGTTTTTAAATAAAATTAATTACAGGGAGCAAAGCTGTGGGCCTGCTCTGTCACGCTCTTTAGAAGAGCGCACATACTCTCATTTGATTCTCCAAATAGTTCAGGCAAGATGGATGGTCGGTAGTTCTGTCCTGGTGAGGTGGTGATTGTGTCTGACAAGTGAAGGAACTAGGAAAGGCTTGCTCTGACTGCGTGCACTGCTCTCTGCACAGATACTGTCTCCTCTCCTCTGCGTGTCGGTGCTCTGGCAGGTCCCCTCACTCGCGCTTTACAGACGAGAACATTGGCACAGAAATAAATTATATAACTTGCTGGAATAGGACAAGGAGGTGGGAAGCAGGCCCGGATCTGCATGCTTCTCATTTATTTCCCACATTCCACCTCTAGGTAAGATAAAAAGGCTCCTGCAAAGTTCCTGTTGCTTCCAATGTAGGCAAAGCCTCAGCCCTGGCTCCTCTTTTGATCTGTCTCCCTCCATCTTCCTGTGGCTGACTAGCTTAGAGCTCCTGAGTCGAGCTGTAGACACTTGGGAAGCATTCCTAAAGCCAACACTTCTGGGGTGCTTTTTGTATCATCATGCTTTTTCATTTTTGACATAGAAGGACAGCCAAGACCAGAGCCTGGGGCTGCCCCTGTAATCCTAATAGCTCCTCAGATGGCTGAAATCTGAGGATGGTAGTTTGAAGCCAACCCCAGGGAGGTAATTCTGTGTTTAGTTAACCAGTAAAAACAAACAAACAAAAAAGCCACAAGTGGAGCTGTGGCTCAAGTGATAGAACACTAGCTAGCCTTTAGCAGGGGAAAAAAGCCCTAAGACTCAGTACCCACTAAATAAATAAATGCGACACCCAGTTAAACTTGCATTTCAGATAAATAATGGATCCCTTTTTTAAGTATACATATGTTCTGTGCAATATTTGGAATATACTTATGCTAAAAATGTTGTTTAAAGTTGAAATTCAGTTTACTTGGCCAATCTCTGAACTGGCAACAAAGTAGCAGAATTGAGAGCAGTCTGGCCTAGATATGTTTTTAGTCCCATCTCTTTATATGTTATAATTTAGCCTCTCCTGTTTTAATACAAAGGTGATCAGAATGTGCATATTGCTTACAATTTTTAAAGTAATTGTATTTCTATGTCTACACATGTAGATATGTTTTCTTCCATGTTGTATGTTATGCCACCATTTTTGTTTTTGTTTTTTAGTTCCGGTACTGAGGCTTGAACTCAAGGCCTTGGTACTGATGTCCCTTAGCATTTTTATTCAAGACTGGCACTCTACCACTTGAGCCACAGCTTTACTTCCAGCCTTTTGCTGGTTAATTAGACCTGGTTAATTTTGCTAGTTAATTCTGTCCAGGCTGACTTTGAACTATGATCCTCAGATCTCAGCCTTCTGAGTAGCTAGGATTACAGGAGTGAGCCATGGTAGTGGGCTATACCACCATTTTATTTTTAACAACCATATCGAAAGACATGTAGATGGGTAACTACTTTTAAAGAAGTTCCCTTCAAGTGAGAAAATCTTACTAGGATAAGTTCTATTTTAATTGTCTTAGGCATTTAATTATACTAAATTATCATACATTCTATACTCCTGACAGCTTGAAATTTTTTGTGTGTGATGCTATTTACATGCTCTAAAGCAGGACAGAGGGTTTCAGAACGCTTTCCCCCATTTGTTCTTCCATTACAAAATGAAATAAAGCTCTGACTATCTTAACAAAGCAGAAGCAATTTACTGCATTTCAGTAGGTCACTTTGTAGGCCCTAGCAAAAGGACATTTCTACACTGTTTGTTTGGAAGATAATTTCTGCAAAACCATTTTTCTTTTAATGACCCAAAAGAAAGCCATTTGTAAATTATTGGAAAT